AAGTCTCTCTAACAGTGTCATGTTGACTACAGCACTGAATTTTCAGTGCTTAATGCTGTTTTTGTCTCAAATTCCAAGCAAGCAGTATATACATACTACAGCTTGTTTTGTTATTTCATTTGCTCCATGGAAAGCCATTAGAGTGCAAACAAATGAGATTTTCCCAAATTGTTCTGAACCCTGTATAAAAGGGGAATAGTTTATTGTGTAACATCTCAATTTAGAGCTAATAAAAAATGAAAAACTGAATATTCTGCTTTGAAAGTACGCAAGCAGTTGTTATTTGTAGACGTGCTCAGTCTCTCAGCAAGCACCCAACGTGCAAAGCATCTCACCAAGTCCCCAAAGTTATACATTCTTCCCTAAAAGAAGTAAAATAGCAAACTATGATACCTGGCCTATTGCAGATTGGAATCTTTCTCTTGGCTATTCGAACATCATGGGAGAAAAAGGAAAACACGAGTTCTCAGAAAGAGAAGATTTGGGAATTGATCGGAATAGCTCTCTTTTCTTTCTGGGGCATCATTCTTCCGTTGATACTATGATGTACTTAGAGAGGGCCAAAGTTTAAAACGACTCCTCCTCAATGGAGACCATTTGGGGCATGCCACCCTGCCATCATCAATGAGTGTTTAAAAATGCTACCCATTTGTTTTTTCAATAGGTCCCAAACAAAAAACGTTCTATCTTGTTTGTGCTGCATGGCTGCCTTCGACTCCACGCCGGATTTGTAGCTAAGCTAGGTAATCGGAGGGTTTTTAATCTTGATCTGTTTTTTTTTTTTTTAATGTAGGCTGAGGGTTATGCACTGAAATAAACAAAAGATGGTCTGTTTTTGAAAATTAACAATGCTTAGACTGGACGGTCAGGGTGGGTGGGTGAGCGGCCAGCTCCAGCGCAGCAGTGTGTGTGCTGTCATCATCATCATAAACATCTTTTTGGGGAAACAAAGACATAAACACACACTCACAGGCACGCATGCACGCACACGCACACACACACACACACTGCCCCACGCAGAATTTGATACAAGAGGTAATCTGCTCCTTTGTGGGCCGAAAACAAAATCTGGTTTCCGCTGGTTTGAGCCAGCGGAGTCTCTGGTGGCTAAGCCTGCTGCTGTGGCCGCGCAGCCTGGGAGGCCGCGCGCGCGCCCGCGCGTGTCACGTGACCCCACACCTACCCACCGGTCGGGTTTTTTTTTTTAATATTTTTTCCAGCGCTGATAACGCGGCTGCCGCCTCTGTCCGCGCGCAGATAACGAATAAACGCTGAACTCTATTAAACGCCCTTTGCACATTATCGTGGGTCGAACACACCATTTTCTGAACTTGGGACGCCAGTCTATTTACTTTGCCATAAACCCTCAGCACGTCACTGACAGATTTGTGCCTGGTAATGATCTGCTCTGCCAGGGCTATATGAAATGATACCGACCTTCTTTAGATCTTGGGGAATTAAATTGACCGGCTTCACCCCCTGGTCTGTAGCTGAAGTTTGACACACTTTATGCACAGCAAGCCCAAATCGGAACTTAAGAGAACCTCGTCTTAAAAAATTAAGCAATTATTATCTGCTACATATTGCTTTGCTACAAAAACTTCCCCGCGTTTGGAACTGTCCTTCCTTTTACATGTATATCCTTCTACTCGGGATTTACTCAGTCATTGATCAATATAATTTTGCATATGGTAACTGTGAGCCTTCTAGGGTTCAAAAGACCAGCTTAGAATATTTTATTTGCCACATTATCCAACTCCACTATGAAAGGCTCTGTGGTTTTTGTTCTGTAAGTTGGTTTTTTTTTTCCTTTCTTGAAAATGGTTCTCATAAAAAGACATCAAGTTAAGAACTTCTAAGGTTTCCACTCTAAATACTCAACCCACAATGAAGTGAAATGTCGCCATACTGAATGGCAAATACTTTATTTTAAAAGAATAGAAAGATGATGCCTAGGACAACATTCCTTAGAAAGCTGAGAACACAACAAAATATAAGTGTGCAATGCAGAGAATTCTGTTCTTTTTTTTGTAAATTGAGGATGTTATATTTGAGGGACTGAAAAGGATATGAATCAAAAACAGATTTATTCAAAACAATTAACTGGGAATTAAATTAAATGAAATGTGTTTTATATGAGGGACACTGAATTTGTATTTGAAAAAATTCTTAAATTTTTAAACAACAGCAGTTCCAATTACAGTAGAAATGTTTAGACATTTAAGAGCAAATTAATGTAATTTACAGTTAGTTGCAAGATTATAAACTGTACTTATTAACAGCCTGGTTTTAGATGCCTAAAAAATTGCATCATAAATTCCAGAATGAGAAATGGCTATTAACATTAATATTTGATTCAAGAAGCTGCTACAGGAATTGTACACTGCATTGAGAGTAACTAGTCCGTATTTTACTTATTTACAATCATTGCAAAGAATTCCTTATTTTATTATTTTCCTTTTTAAAATCTCCCTCTATATTTTAAGTAGTAGATGTAACCTAATTTCAACTAAACAAATACTAATAACGTTCCTCATCTTGCTTATCTTCAAGTTAAAACCAGTAAATTAAACATTTATCATAAATACTATATAAACAAAAAGTTTAAAAATCAACTTATCCACATTTAATTTGAAAACAAACTTATTTCTGGGCAGCAAATACTTTCAGGAGCTTAGTTCCTGAACTATAGAAATTAATATGAAGAACCAATTTAAAATTTTTTAATTTTAAAGAAGCTTCTATTTTGATTGCTTACTTAGTCTGAATGAATACTGATACAGATGAAGGTTATTTTTAAGTGACCATACCTGGTTAAGGATATGTTTGAGATCTTTAAACCTATATATAATGAGGAAAAGCCTCAAAATAAATGTTAATGATTTCCTCATGACATAGGAATTTTGCTACATTTTGGTAAAAAAAAAAATCCAAAAAAATTTAAGCAGTTTCTTTCAAGTTTCAAACTCTATTCAAATTTTAAGCTGAAAAGTTCCCATAAGTGATAATCTAACAGTTACATATTCTCATGGCTATATTCATCATATACCATTTATTGAAGTGACAGATCCTTAAAACTAAACTTCAGGTTTTCCAAGTCCTTTCAAAATTTGCAAGTTTGATTTATACAGGTCCACAAAAAATTTGGGCACAATCACTTTAAAGTGACAGAAATATAATTTGAAAAATCCAGAAAATATGAACTCAAATCTATTTTTGTAGAATGCTTTTCTTTAGACATAAAAATCATACTTATATGTGTGCAAGGCAAATATTTTAGGCACTTAAAACGTTCATGAAGAGATGTGAACATGGTTTAAATTTTTTTTAAAAAAGGACTCCTGTCACAGAGCTACAGCATCCATTACAATAAAAGAGTCTGAGTTAGACAGAAGCACCTCCTTCCTCTCTATTTCTTCTACATTAGGCAGTGGTTTCAAATGAGAGGGAAAAATCTATAGCTTTTTTTTTTAAAAAAAAGAACTGACATGGCAACTACACACATTTTTTTTAAAGGTAATGCTTTTTTTTGCAGCAGATGGGAAAGAAAATTATGATTCATTCATTCAATAGGCATGAGCAATCCAAACCTCACTTTTAAAAAGGGAGAAAATATTTTTCTCTCATCCTCACATTATTTAATCTATTATGAGTAAAACCCTTCATCACATCAGCCTTTTATGTTTGATGTGCTATTTTTTTCCTTTAGCTATTCTCACATTTCAGTAAGGGAAGCTGAAATCCCAAGTCAAATCTGAACAATGTTTACATGTCTGAACTCAAGCTGATAACATCCAAATAGTGGAGGAGGTGGGGTACTTCACCCAACAAATATCATCAGATCAGTAATCCTTTTCCCATCTTTTGTGTAGGTATTTCAGTCACACAGAAATGTTTATAATATTAATATTACAATAGACAGTAAGACAGTAATGGCATATATAATAGATGGTAATTTAGTATCAGCAATTTGAAATGGTAAATATAATTATGCAAAGTTTATAATGTATTCAATATGCTATGTTTCAGTATCTTATTAAAGTTTTGTTTCATCCAGTGAATGATTTGTGTTCTGTTTTATTGTGGCAGAGTAGAGACCTTTTCTGTACTTGCTAGTGTAACCTTAATAAACACAGTCAAGTCTTGCTGGAGAAGTTCCCTGTCCTCAATCAGTCTCCAGGGTTGTTTGAGACAATTTTTAATTCGTCTCCACACAAAGGTTCCTGAAAGGTTTTTTTTTTTTTAAGTCATGTACATAATCTATCTGAATTTATGAAATCTGCAGTATTAATTCAAAAGAAGAAGTGGGGCATTAATCAGACTCACGACACTACCGTATGATCCAATGAGAACTGACAGTCAAGTGTCAAGGGCCTTTTGAGAAGATATTGTATCATTTATGCCTGTGCAGAACTTAAACTGCAAAAAAGGACACACTATTATTACTATTACTATTATTACTATAACTTGGCAGAAGCAGTTCCTCTGTCAGGGTATCCAAGTTCTACACTGGTGCTTACAATTTGCATTTTGGTGAATGTATTTTTAAGAAGCTACACAATAGGAGACTGAGCTGTGCTATTGAATTTTGAAAGCTTACTTTCATTTGTTTTGCTGCAAGTGTTGATTTAATTATACTGCATTATTATCAAAGCTGTATTATGTACTTTTTTATTCCTTTTACATGTGTTTGAGGTGAAGACCTTGGCTTTGTCTGCAAACGGTGTGTTTCAAGTTATTCCTTAAGTACTAAATAATAAAGAAATGAGAAGAAAAGATTTTTTTAAAAGATAGCAGACAGTGATCACAAGGTAAAGGGTTAAATGTAAGATCTCCAAGAAACATTTTGAAGTTGATTAAGACTCCAGCTTTGCATTAAACAGTATCGCTTCCACATGAGTTGCTGCTAATACCGTTAAGGAGCAGCTTGAGAGCCCAGTGGGCCTGTGACCTCCTTCACCCTCCAGCCACCCACCGGGCCTTCCTGATTAGCATTCTACCTGGTTCTCTGAGGAATTCCCATCATCCCCTAGGAGCTCATTCCGTACTTCGTCACTGTAGGCGATCCGTGACCTTTTCTATAAAACAAAACAAAAAGGGAAAGGAGGAGATGAACATTAGAAAGTAAAGGCTTCGAAGCATTATCCATATCAAGACCGATCATCTCAAACCTCGAGAGCCCCCTAATGGAAACCCACTGGTGAAAATTTGCAAACCAAAGTTGTCTAAAGTTCCTGAACTTGAGAGGTTCAATGTAAATTACAAGTTTTTAAACATGCCAATAATATGAGGAAATACTGTTATGTAAACTTTCTATTAATATTTACAAATGGATTAGGGCTTGTATATTATTCCATACATCATCTATCAAATGAGATCACTAAGCTAAAAGAAATACAGCTAACTGGCTCTATAGCTATAAAACTCACAGATTGTAATTAGAATAGGAACACATGGGGGTGGGGCTTTGAGATCATAGCAGGAAACAGACTGTACAATTAGAGCTTTAAAAATTATACCTCCAACTCTATTCCGGAATGCTTGGACTAGCACATCTGTACTTATTTCATTATTACAATGTTACTATCCAAAGCAAATTTAAGACAGTCCTTTATCCAAACAATAATTCAAATGCCCCTAACTTCTTCATAAAGAATAGGTATATGTGTGTGTGTGTGTGTGTGTGTGTGTGCACGTGCATGTGCATGTATAAGCAAATTAAATTTTCCAACCCCATTAAATAATACCAAGTAGGCTATGAGTCAAACTTTCACAATCCCAGTAAATAAAGACGAAAGGGTGGTGAGTCAAAGCTTCACACACTGAAATTTTGTTTTACAAGAAATCTACCCTCACCTATAAACTCAGAGGGACATGTCTGCAAGCAATTCATGAATTATCTAAACATATGCATTTGAGAAAGCTAAAGGGTTCTGAAAACTAGTGGTGAAACTAAAGTCTGATATTCAGTTCCAACTCTATCTTGATTATTTCAGACCCAATTTAGATTTATAAGGTACTTTGTGCCCTTTCAGCTTCTCAACTCAATAAAAATGGTCAGTTAGAAAATGACAGGTAGGAAAGAATAATCTCTTTCTGATCTGGGATCTACAGTGTGGGTCTTGAACTTCTTACCTCTTTAACTGTGATCTAACAAGAAGTATCCATAATCCATGAGCAAAAATCAACAATAACATTTTAATTAGATTTTTAGGTGAGTCAATGATTAACTCTGCTTGAACCTAGAAGATCATAAAACTTTAAGCATAAAATCATATTGTATTAGAATTTAAAAGGAATTTAAATAAGAACAACCAATAAACTTTAGATCATTTTAAAGAGGTAGTCTTTCTCAACTGAGGTTCTTTATCTGAACTACAAATCACAGAAAAGTACTTCTGCAACTATTTTCCTAGTTCTCCCAAGAGTGACACATAAGGGAGAATTTAGTTCATTTCACATAATTGAAGACTTAGCACTTAGGGCTCTGGCAGAACCCAGGTTTGGTTTTTTTTTTTAAAGCCTAATAGAATAAAAATATATTAATCTACATAACTATTACCTCCCTTTTCTAGAAAAACAAGTTTCATAGAATTCTAAAGGTAATTTTGCTTGAATTGAGATTAGAGCATTGCACTCCTGACTCACAGCTAAGTGCTCCTTCTACTTCATAAAAATTCCTCCCTATAATTTCACCCTCTGGATAGACTCAGGGAAAAAGGCACAAGAAAGGACAAAATGTTTCAGTATAAAGTAGATTGTGGCTTCCCTTTCTTGCCCAGGTCTCTAAAAAGCCATACTTTCTTTCCACTAATATGTACTTTAGCAACTACAATAAGTCTAGAAGTAGGTAAATAAAATTACAGCAATTTGCAGACAAAGGGACAGATTGGAGAAGCCAACTCATTAGCCCAAGGTCTAAAAAGACATCCCGTCAGATCTCTTGAAATTCAGGAGTGATACAACCCATTCACACTGAACATTTTATCACTACGAACAGCATATGCTAAGCTTGCTTTTTTGCACATTGTATCTACTGAAGCTACTGTTATCTATTTCTACTGATTTCACACATAATTGTATTTGTACATCTAAATTATAAAGACAGTCCACTCTGGGGTCTTAGTACAATATTTAATTCAACCCAAAGCTTTCTTTTGTCCATTTGGAGATTCCCCACTATAGTAATTTCAAACTATATAGCAATTTCAAGCAAAAGTATTTTACAGCTTTAAAGGAAATGAGAACCTTCAAATAGGCTGTGGTATCAGAGCTGCCTTTTTAATTATTCATCTCAACACTATGGGGGACTAAAACATTCCACAGTATGCAAGAATATCATACAGAGATTGTTTTTGTTTTTCCCTTTTTTCACCAAAATACCAACAAATTGGCATAGATTATTCAATTACATTATAATCTTATTTTGACTTTGTATGCTTCAAAAGAAGAAGAAAATTATAAGTGTGGATCCCTAAGTATCTAATCTTGTTTTGGTTAGAACGCACTGTTTTTGAAAACCAGCAATTAAAGAGTATATGTGCTCAGCAATAGAGGAGAACTAAAGATTTATCCACAGTCAAAGGGTGGTCTCTATAAATGTCATTCTTTAGCATTGGAATGGTAAATACTGGTCATTTGGATGGCTGTTCTGGATGTTCATTAAGCAAATGATATGCTGAGTTTCACAAAGTGGTCTCAGAGAAGCTAACTTAAGGAATGAAAAGACTAACTTATTTCAAATATCAGAAATAGTTCCCCATGAGCTGAACACAGAACTCTTTACACTTGAGTTTTCTTTTAACAAGACAAACCAAGATATTGTTTTATTAAGAATTATATTTAGATGCCCAACTTAGATATCTTCTCATAATTTCTGAACATCTGAAATTTTAAGTAAGCTGATGGCATGTAACCAGCCATAATTAGGACAGCAAGATATCATCACTAAACAAATTGAAAACCAAAAATTAAAAAATACTGTTTTATGAATAATTTTCCTCTAAACATCAAGAAATTATCTTTATAGAATGTTTAAAAATGCTCCTGTTATGATCATTACTACCTACATAATATTTTAAATGAGGATTCAAAGTTAATGAAACTGAAACCTCTTTTTAATTATAACTAAAATATTTTTGATTATGAACACTATAAAATCTGTACTTTAGCCAAATGCAGGCATGAGAATTTGAGCTGAAATGTCACATATTCAGCTACAGTTTGAAGGAACCCAATTCATAATGCATTTTATAAATAGTTAATGACTTCTATACATAAGCTAACCAGGCAAATCAAGAAATTGTCAACATTTTTAGTCTTAGTTGTCAGTTACCACTGCCTACTGGTGCTTTATATGTGGCTGTGGAGAAGACAGAAGCTCTCTGCAGTTTGTAATCTACTGCAATTTCTGGTCTACACTGAAAGGGTGGAATAGCTTCAAAATTATACACACACACACACACACACACACACGCACGCACACTCAGAGTTAAATACAAGAACATTCCTCAGTTTCAGTTGTGTATTTATACAAAGCTTATTCCTTCTAACTTATACATACTTCAATGAACTAGACACCGCTAGACAGAAAACTTCAGGTCAGGTATGAACAAAAAATATGAAAAATTAACAATTGCTTGTTACTTCTAAGAAGTTAGAGACATAAAGTTTCAATAGTCACTTTAAAATGATGACAAAAAGTGAGTCTGGTTATGAAAGCAAGATTTCAAACTCAAAGACTTCCAATTTTTCACTTGGAATAAGAACAGGATGTTTGCACACTGATTGGCTGATTTTCTTAACACCAAGTTCAAACATACCCAATTGTTCAATTCTGTCTGGAAAGTTGTTGAAATTGTCTATCTACTTGACCTGAGCATTAACATTTCCCAACTAAGCAAATGTGTTCATGGGCAGGCACTGCTAACTTGGAACAAAACAAATTAACTTAGCTTAAACTAATTAAAAATGGTGATATCTGGTAGTGCCTTCTATGAGTCTCTATATGTCAAATATAGTGTATGTAGCCAGAACGAGTGAAAACATAACAATGAAGCTGGTTTATTACTAAAGCGTATATGAGAATTTAATTTCCATGGCGTGCACATGGCAAAGCAATTGCTTAAATTGCCTCACCTGGGAATTTAATACAATGTTATCATCAGACCAGCCACATTGTAAATAGATTTATAATGCTTTCCATGTGCTGTTCTCTGTTGCATATAAATTAAGTAATGATCTGGTATTACAATAAAAATCAGCTAGTTCCCACACCTGGCAGACAGGATATTTCACTAAATTAATACCCATACAGCTACATCACAAGGCACGGGAGGGAAAACCATCTCTAAGCGTTTCACTTGGATTTTACATGGGAAGTAAATATTCCATGGTGTTGTACAACGTACACTGAATGGTCTGCGCAAGACAATCTATTTCTAACATCTGTATCACAGAATTAAGACTTTTTCCTTCCATTCAATCTTGGCCTAATTTCCTTCATTCAGTACTTTAATTACTAATCAGCAATTCGCAACATTCACAAACACTAAGAAGCCCTTTATTCTAATCTATGCACTGCAGACAGCCAAACAATTGATACAAAGTGCAGTGTGGCTTTGGGAAGTAATGAAAGAACAGCTTGTCCTACTTCCTAATCAAATTGGTCTACAGAAGAAATAGTTAATAGATTTCTCCATAGTTCTAAAACAAATTAACCAGTCTGGCCAGACTTTTCCACAACTCCTACCATGTTTTGCAGTTTCCACATATTTAATAATGCCCAAGGTTACCAGGTGATGCATGTATTAAACTGCTCTGCTTTCATAGCCAAAGAATTTAACTGCTCCTGTTATAATTAACACTTTGGGATATCTATAGTATACCATGAAATTATATTTATTAGCTAGCCATTTAATTGCTGGCATTCAGTTCTTAAATTTATCTGGTTCTAATTAGATAATACCACAGCACATAATAGCCAGACAGCATTTTCAAAAAAATGTATCTTTCTCTGTCACTGAGTAGTGCATCTTTAACCTGGTTTCTATTGCTCAATGCCTGGTTTCAGCTTTTT